AGATACATATATTATATGAGCATATAATATATATACTATAAAGCATATATTTTATAAAAATATAAAAAATAATATGTAAACATATATCATATAAAATATTATATATATTATATGGAGAATATATATTTTACACATATATATGATAAACATTATATATATCTCATATTCTTTGAAACATACTGAGATTTGCTTTATGGTCCAGAACATGGTTACTTATAAACAATGTCTCATGTGAGCTTGAGAAGGATGTATATTCTTTGTTATGTACAAGGTTCCTTATTTGCCCAGTAAATCAAGATTTTTAACTGTGTAGCTCAAATATTCCATATCTTTAATCGACTTTCTTGGGTTGCTTGATCTCCTGATATTTGAAAAGGATACACTAAAATATTCTACTATGATAGTAGGTTTGTTGATTTATCTCTGGAGTTCTTGTATCTCTTGCTGAACTTTTAATTTTTAAATTGTGACCATCTCAATACTAAATTAAATACATCTCCTACTAAATTATATATTTATTGCCTACCACTGCTTTGTCTGATACCAAGAGAGCTATCCCGGTTCTCTTTCTCCATCATCTGTCAAACTGTTCAGGCCATCATGTGTTAGGTATGTCTTTCATAAAGAGCATATGCTGTATACTCGCTCCTCTTCAGTCGGACAATGTGTCTGTTCCTCCCCCAACTTAGTCTGCTTATTTGATTGATATATTTAGACTTATTTCTATCATCTGATTTCTTGCTTTCTATTTTTCCCCTCTTTTTCCTATGCTGTCATTTTCTTCTTGCATTCTTCTTCTCCCCCACGCCCCCAACAAATGATGGAGATATTTTGGTTGTTTTGGTTTTTCTTACTCCATTCACCATCTCTACCCACCCTGGATTTATAATTTCTGTGTTTTTTTTTTTTTTTCAATTCTTTTAGAGCTGAAGCTTGAAAGGTTAGACGTGCGTAACCATCTTAGCATTGAAATTATCTCACCAGCAAAACAGATTCTAGAATACTTTAATTCCAATCACGTCCCTCCTGAGTTATGTGATGTCATTGTCTGATATTTTAGTTTGAACTGTTTGAAGCCCACAGTTATACATTCCTACTACTACTACTACTACTACTACTACTACTACTATTTAGAGATTGTTAGGCATTCCTACATATTTCTAATTTGTTTGTTCAGCATTCCTTCTTGGAATCATGATTCTATGGAATCATATTCCTTATTCCTGAAAATAAATCCTTGAGCAGTTTCTTTGCAGAGGTATGTTTGTGGTAAATCCTTTTTGCTTTTGCTCCTCTGAATAATCTTTTCTCGTATTTTGCTAGGTATACTATGTATTGTTGTTGTCACCCAGCACAGTTTAAGGTGTTACTTATATTCCTCTGGCTTCTGTTGCTGCTGCTAAGAACTCTCATCTGACACATGCCATGTCTTCATAGAGAATCTGATTTTTTTCTCTCTGGTTGGTCATTTACTTATTTCCATAGAACAGGAATATTTTTTATCTTTTTTTATTAACATATAATGTATTATTTGTTTCAGGGGTACAGGTCTGTGATTCATCAGTTTTACATATTTCATTTTCTCTGGTTATTTAAAAAAATCACTTGAGGCTGCTGCAGTCTTACTCCTATAGGTCTAAGTCTAGCCTTATCTTTTTAATCTGCTTGTATGTATGCATACCTTTTAATAGTTCTGGAAAATTCCCATTCACTATAAAGATGCCTCACTTCTGCAGCGCTTGGATGGCTCAATGGGTTAAAGCCTCTGACTTTGGCTTGGGTCATGATCCCAGGATCCTGGGATCAAGCCCCGCATCAGGCTCTCTGCTCAGCAGGGAGCCTGCTTCCCTTCCTCACTCTCTCTCTGCCTGCCTCTCTGCCTTCTTGTGATCTCTATCAAATAAATAAATAAAATCTTCAAAAAAAAAAAAGATGACTAACTTCCAGTTTTCTCTATTATTTCCTTCTGGCAGTCTAATTAGACACATTCCCAATATCTCAATGTCTCTCTCAGTTTTTCTCTTTTTCCTTGTGCGCTGGATTCTAGATAATTTCTTCAGCTCTCTCTTCTAGTTCACTAATTCTCTCTTTAGCTGACTCTAATTTACTATTTAACATATTCATTATATCTGTAATTTCAATAATTATGTTTTTCACTTCTAAAAGTACTATTTGATCCAAATAGGTCTACTTGCCTTTGAGAATCTCTTGTTCCTCCATCCTTTAATTCTCTTTTATTTCTTACACAGAATAAAAATATTTCTTTTATATCTGACGAGTCTAATACCTGAAGTCTTAGAAATTTAATTCTACAGTTTCTGCCCTTTCTCATGGTGGCTTATTTCCCTGTGTGTTTAGGGATTACTGAATGAGAACTCATTTTTCTTGAAACTTGACCTAAATAATTCATTGAAGTCTTTCTTATTTTTGAGAGTATTCTTCTAGATCAGATTTCTGTTTATTTCTGCCAGGTGCCTGGCACATGTTCATTTTTCTTCTATTTCTTCCCATACATATAACTTCAGCCCACCAAATAATATGAACACAGTCTTGAAATTAGAAATTCTCAAGGGAATTTCTCTCTTATTTTATCTAAAGCCAAGGATAAGATGTATAACAGTCTCTATCATCTTCTCCTATGGGTATTTTTACACTTGTTATCTACTGAGGATATCACTTTTCCTGGACCCTAACTTTTGGTAAGGGTCTTCTAATTTGTCTCTCTTGGGGCTGGGACCCAAATTCCCATGTATCGCCTTTCAATAGAATGGCTATACATATGGTTTGCCTGACTTTAATTTAGGCCTAATGTCCCACTGTCACTAATAATAGCATTCCTTTGTTTGAATTATATAGTAAATTATATAGTTACCGACTTTTAAGCCAGGCCTCTAATTCCCAAGGGTCTGCAAATACCCAGCAAACGTCAGATCCAGTCGCTTTTTGCTTATCCTTCTGGATCCATACTTTGTCATTGTTTCTGGCATCTGCTTACTTCATTGACTTTATAGGCTGATCGACTATGTTTTCAAATCATTAAGAAAAAATTTTTATCCTATACTTTTTGGTGTTCTATACAGGGTTGATTTTTATTTTCCTCACCTTTAAGCTTCTAGTTCATGACAGTCTTGGAAATATTCCTGAGTATGTCATAGATTTTTCTTATGCCTAAGAAATACAGGACACAGCAAAGGAACTACATAAATGTTGATTGAAAGAATCAGTGATGGAGGTACTTATGTTTTAAACACTTTTCTAATAGTTTGTAATGACCTTCAAGTTCAGTAAAATAAAAAAAAAAAAAACAGAAAAACAAAAACAAGTTCTTTCTTTTTGACTACGTTTCACTCCTGGGAAGGTGTGAACTTTAGACTGTTCATTACAACAGTTTATATTTGTGAAAATCTGAAAACAACTAAAGTAACAGGAATGCCTCGGTAACAGAAGAGTACAAAATGCTATGTGTATTAGGACCATAAATATTTGGCAACACACACATATGGACATGGCCAGAAGCTTCTTGGAAAAGACGGATTTATTAGGAAAACAAGGTTTGGGTTCCTTTTTCCTTTTAAAAAATTCGAAACGATTGTTACTGCAGCGTCACGTGGGCAATGGCTATACATTTGAAATGACGTCAGCTCCCTGTGGTTGCGTGTGTCGACTTCCTGTCTGACACAGCCAGAAAGGCAAACACACTTGCTGTCAGACAGGCCTGGGTTCAAGTCCTTGTTCTGTCACTTACTACTGGAAGTCAGTTTCTCACTCCTTTCACTGTAGGTAGAAAATTCTGACACACACTTTAACTCCGGGCTCAGCCAATAGGATATTAGCATCAAGGACTCAAGCTTTCCCTGCAAGCACTAAGACTTCCTCTCCCACTTGGCTTTGCCAGAGAATGAGCGGGCTGGCCTGCTCATGGGACATGACAGACACTGGAGGAGGGCTCAGGTGTCCCAGCCATCAACCACTGGATCCAAAGCTGACCGCAGACACTTGGTTAAGCCAGTGAAAATCAGAAAGCCGGCCAGCCCACCTGCAGACTCCTCAGCTACATAAACGGTGGTTTCAGTAACCCACTGGTCAGCTAGGGCTTACGATATTCTGCGGTGGGTCACCTAATGGCCTGTCTGTATTCAGCCAGGGGGCTGCGGGGAGGCACTGTGGGCCCTTCTATGTTATTTGGGTTTTTTTTTTTTTTTAAAGATTTTATTTATTTATTTGAGAGAGAGACAGTGAGAGAGAGCATGAGCAAGGAGAAGGTCAGAGAGAGAAGCAGACTCCCTGCGGAGCCGGGAGCCCGATGCGGGACTCGATCCCGGGACTCCAGGATCATGACCTGAGCCGAAGGCAGTCGTCCAACCAACTGAGCCACCCAGGCGTCCCTGTTATTTGGGTTTTTATGGTTGGAGCCAGTTACTTCTGGTCCCTACCACTATGTCTGGTACCTACAGACTGAAGATGAAGGCTTTTTGCCACCGTCACTGCTGCATGAGGTGGACTGAGACATGCGGGCCGGTGCCTCCCCCCACCTGTGGCCACAGCACCCGGCAGGCCTGCTCACATGCCTTTCCTCACCGGTCTCTCTCCTCTGGCCACGAATGACTTGAAGGAAGGATGTGATTCTATCTGTAACACCTGGCACAGGGGAGTCCCTCCATAACTGTTTTCGTTTGAATTAAATGACTGAATTTGGGGAGCTGATAAGAACCCACACAGCCGGCGGCAGGTGGCAAGAGTAACCAGGCAGGCTGGTTCTTACCCAGGGAGGCCTCATGTTTTCCAGAAAGCCCACACAAGAGGGACAAAGAAAAAAAGGAGAAAAGCACATTCTTTCTGCTCTTCTCTGCCCTTATCTCTCTCAGCACACAGCACACAAAACTCAGAACCATTCATTCTGTGGAAGTGCCCTCCCCAGCCGGCTCCGAGCCACACACGGGGACCCCTCCCCCTCCTCCGAGGGGCTGCCCCGCCCCCATGGCAGCCTGGCCATCCTCTACCTTCAGATCAGACACGTCCCTGTAGCACTGCTCAGAGCGGGTATGGTCCGACAGCTGCACGTTCCAGAAGCAGGGGAGCTGATACACGAGGAAGGGGTTCTGTTTGATGACGGCATTGAAAATATCCTGGTGGAGAAAAGCCAGACACAGTCAAGAGTCAGATGGATCTCACCTACGATGCCAACTCTCGAGGTACAGAGCAGCTCCTGGGCAAGGGACTCTCCTGAACCTCCCACTTGGGACCCAGGCTGGCTTGCACTGTGGGCATTCCCCTGCCATCTCCCATCTCTAGACCCAAGCAGCTGTGCTTGGACAGAGACAGGGGAACGCCCACACTGACTTGACACCCATGGGCTCCACTGGTCCCCAGAAGGCAAGTGGATGTGGGAGCAGACAGCGAGTGTCTTCTCCCCCATCCCGAGTTGGCAGATGTTAAATGAAGTCACTTTTCTGCCCCTCTTCCCACCTTATCGAGGAGCCCTGTGTCATCCATCCCATGCCTCCAGGAGAGGAAACTGCATGATGACAAGTGGCTCTGCTCATTCAGGGGCTGAGACAAATTACAGATTCTGTTTTAGCAGCACTTCCTGGGGCTTTTGGCCGACTCAGTGATGGATGCACCTTGTTTTCCTGCAGGCCACGGTGCCCGACTCCACACTCCCCACCTCCAGATCCAACTCCGACTTTTCTAGGGAGGCTTTCCTTCTTTTGGGCTTTTCTCCAAGCTCTCGCTGCACCAGGCCATACTTATTAACTAGCTGCTGACAGGTGGTGCCGGGAGGTGAATTATGTGCCTTCACAGGAGGAGATACCTGGATAAACTATCCTCATTGGACAGGAACATGCAATTGCTAGCTTTGGGGGACATACTTGAGTCACTGTGACCTGACTTAAAATATGATGATGGAGGACAATTTTCCCCTCAAGTTAAAAATAGCTACCTGGGTAATTTTTAACTCATTCATTATACCAGATCTCATGTTTGAAAAAGGAAATTAGTTTCTGGCTGCTTTGGAAATACTGAATAACAATAATAATAATAATAATAATAATAATAATAGTAAAATAAATAAGAGCAAAGTAACCCTGTAGAGTTTCTTACTTCCTCTTAGAAAACTTGGCAAAAATACGGTGAATCAGACCATTGAACATGGAGGAAAAACATGGGAGTGGGCTTGCTTTTTGGGTGAACAGGAAAGGGTAAAAATACAGAGGACCCAGAGAAGTGTTGTCTCCATTTCAACATGGCCTGCTACACCACAGGGAATAGTAAGTCTAAATGTGTGACCCTGGCAGGGCCAAGGTCAGAGGCTTGGACACCCACACTTCCCAGCAAAAATGAGACATGGGACTTTGACGAATTTATGTTAATGGTCTGGTGGAGCGCATGGACTTTTTCCGATTGCCTAGATTAGAAGCCGGTTATTTCAGCTAGGAATTTAGATCTGTCCCTTCCATTTAAAGGTGCAGGTCATAGTCCAGGTTCTCAAGAAAAGGTGTTGCTGTAGAAGCGAGAAAAGCAAAATGAAATCTTGTCTGGGAAATAGGCTGTGGTTTTCCGGGGTCACCCCCACCCAGACGGAGAGAGCGACCTCCTCTTAGCACATCTGACTGTCGTTTACTTACTGGTCTGCTTCAATAAACTGTGAGCTCCCTGAGGCCAAGGACTGCATCCTTCATCATCTCTGCAATCCTAGTTCTGAACATTGTCCCTCGCACACGGAGCATGTAGTGAAAGGCTGCTAAATGGACAGATGACTTCACAGACAAACTCAGCTATTGACTTAGACAGGCAAGCACCAGGCAGATCGATCCCAGGATATGATCACATAATCGGTGGGAAAATCATCCAGACCCAGCAACTTTCAGGCTTCTTTGAGAAACAGTACAAGGCTACTTAGGAATAACTCTACCTCCTAGGCTGGTCACTCACCTGGTCAGCTAAGGAGGTGGACAGCATGCCCATGAGCTCCCTCTCTGCAGTCAGCCGCCACATCTGCTCCCACTTCATCTTCCGCAGCTTGTCCAGAAGTAGCAGGATCACTCCTGGGCAACAGCAGAGGATGGGAGAGGGAAAAACAACGGTGAGACACAGAGCCAGGCACACGCCTGTCCACTGTCTGGAAGTGAACACGCCTGGGTTCCATCCCAGGCTCTGCGAGGGACACGTTCTCTCTGCAATATCCTCACTGTACAGAGAACGTTACAGCGGCCTCAAAGGCTGTTGCAAACACTAAGTGAGATGGACAAAACAGCCTAGCACTTTCTGGAGACGGGATGGTGGGGATAGTTGCGCAACCATGTGAATGTACTTAATGCTTCTGAACTGAACACATAAAGGTGGTTAAAAGGGTATAATTACAATTATGTCATGCATATTTGGCCACACACATTTTAAAAAGAGCATAATATTGCACCTGCTATGTACTCCATTCCCTATAAGCATTAGGTTCCTTCCTACTTTTTTTTTTTCCCCAGAGATAGGACAACCTTCCTAGGTTTAGTTGAAGGAAGCTGTTTGTACAATCTGCGCCGTTTATCTTTATAGATAAAGAGCAGCTCTCCTGCAATTTTATTCTAGGTAAGTCTGGCCAATTGGCTTTGATTTATTGACAAGCCATACGAGCTTGTTCCAGTGCTCCTGACTTCCAAAGTCTTCTCTGGTCCCCACAACCAACACAGTTGTAAGCTACGGTGAAGGCAGTGCTGACGCTGATGAGCTCCATTTTCGTTTTTGTTTTGTTTTTTAGTTTTCATGAGGAGGGACCTGGGTCCATGGTGGAGGGGGCGCTGTGTAGCGAGAGAAATTGTCATTGTATACCCTTCTGTTATTTTTTTTTAAATGTTAGAAAAAAATCTGAAATTTATGACTCAGGCAAAAATTAACTAGTGACAGTCTAAAAAGGAAAGCAGATTTTGGCTTTGCCAGATGACTCAGAAGCATGGCCACTCCCAGGGCAGTCGGAACCTGCAGAGAGTGCCCAGAGCAGGGAACACGAGGAGCCAGGAGAATTTCCCTGCAGGCCACTGCAGTTAATTTCGTGGATGGAACTGTAGCACCCAATGGGCACCCGAATCAATCCTGCCCAGGATGCTTAGCTCAGCAGAATGGCCGGTGGAGAAAACTACAGGAGATGACGAATGATCTTAGTTGATACCTGGTACATATATCGCTAACATTTTTGGAAAGAATCTGAACCCCCAAATCCCACATAAATGTCAACTCTGAGGGTTTTTTTTTTTTAAACCGATTCCAGTGGTACGTATGTGAAGAAAAAAATTAAGTCACCATTTCATCCGAGCTGTTTGGTCCGGTAAAACTGAAATTAAAAAAAAAAAAACAAACACAAAAAACAAAAAACATACATGATAATGGTCAGCATGGGGTAATATACAGATCTAAACTCATAAGTCAAAAGCTCAAATTACCTTTTTTGCATATGTCCTTTGTGGTTTGCTAGGTTCTGCCCATGTCTTTTCACTTAATGCTCACAAGATCACGATAGGCTGGATGTCATCATCCTTATTTTGTAGGGGAAACTGAGGGGTTGATTCAGACACTTGAACAATTCACAGTATCAGAGAAGCTCTAGCAGATTCGAACTCAGAGTTGGCTGGCTCCAAAGCCACTGCTTCTTCATCTACACCAGAGATCCCAGAGCCCCAGCACCAGAGTCCTGTGACTCAGGCCAAGACTTTTTCCTTTCGTGACTTTTGGTTTCTGTATGTGTAAAGTAAGAAAAATGCTACTTGCCCTGTGCAACTCAGAAAGTAGTTATGCCCCCCAGGGGTAGGCTAGCAAATATCTGATTACAGGCTCTCCAAGGGGAAAAAATTAAAACTTGATTGGTAGTATTTGCTGATTCCCATAGAATAAGTACTCCCACCATGGCTGATTTCAAGCTACCTATGTGATGTCCTGAACACCCAGTTGGGAAGAAATGCACACAATTGACGTGCCTTCCCCCCATTCCCACCCCCACCCCAAGTCAGTGCAAGCGAGCTCTAGCACACCACTGACTTTGTTCACGGAAGCAGTTTTAGAAATAGTGAAATTTACCATAAGCTCGCTACTTGCTTCTTCCTGGGACAAAGAAAAGAGAAATTTACGAAGTTACATACCAAGAGAACACAGTGAGGTATTCAAGAGTATCTATCCCAGTCAAACACATAAGAGAAGTTCCTTAAATCTCACGGCAGAAACTAAATCTAATTAGGTTGGGGAGATGCTCTCATACACAGAGAAAATGGGGAGGGGTGGAAGCCATACAGTGATGGAAGGTATTAATGCACATTCTGGGGTCCCTAGAGATGTCGACAGATCTGTCAGTCTCAGGGTCTCAGGGGACTGAACTGAGAATTGATGCCTTTAAACGTGTTAAGACTTGGCAAGTCCTCTGTGGCCGATGTGACCCCACCCTGCGTGCCAGACTCGTTGAACAGAGGTGGGTGTCTAGAACAGGAGCCTAAATGCAGAAATGCGGGCTTATTCTCCTGGTCCCCTAGCCTTTTCCATTGTGTGATGTTAATTTTTAAAAAATTTATTTATTAGACAGAGATCACAAGTAGGCAGAGAGACAGCAGAGAGAGAGGGGGAAGCAGGCTCCCCGCTGAGCAGAGAGCCCGATGCGGGGCTCGATCCCAGGACCCTGGGATCATGACCTGAGCCGAAGACAGAGGCTTTAACCCACTGAGCCACCCAGGCACCCCTGTGATGTTAATTTTTTAAAAGCATGAACTCTTCCAAACCAACAGAAAACTCTTGAAACTAAAATGACAAATACCCACCACCCCAGTCTAATAAATGAGAAACACACTGCCACATTTGCTGTGAATAATACAACATGACAGATAGATCAAACGTTCCTTCATCTTACTCAGGTTCTCCCTTTCCCAAGGGTAACCACTACCCCGAGGTGGCTGGGTTTCCTTTCCACGCATGCATTTAGTTTTATTCTCTACGCATGTATTAATCAACAAGCTATGGGGCTTTGTCTCAGAGTGCCTCCCCTCCATTCTAATTTCTCCTCTTACCCAATGTTACGTCTTTAAGACTGAAAAGCAGGTGAAAATGTCAATATCTAGTCTATTCGTTGCCATCACTTTACTCATTGTATGAAAATACATACATTATTTATGTATTTCCTGACCCAACAACATTTTGGCTGCTTTCTGGGTTTCTCCTATTATAAGCAATGCTTCAGGAGACATCCTAATCCCGACTTGTGGGGCACACGTCTGAGAGCTTAGCTGGGGTCCAGTCTCCAAAGCTGTAAGGATTGCCATGTTGGAGGTGCTGTTTGCCCTAAAACATCTCGAACTTCTCCATTGTCCTCCTCTGTTACGTTCAGACCATGATGGTGTCCTACGGATTCCACATGTGAGCGGCTTCTGCATCTCTTCCTCTATTGACCCATCCAGTAATTTATTGAGCACCTACGCTGTGCCAACAACGGAAATAGACTTGTGTGTGTTACTCATCCCTACTTTTCCCGATTTCATGGGTTTCATTCAAAATATTAATTCAACTGGATGGAGAACATTCAGTCTTGGCCAGACCCAGCCACAAAAGACATGCAAGCCATCATGATTCAGGTGCACACTGAGGACAAGCACTGTTCATTTAGGGAACATGGAGGGAGGCCTCAGTAGCTAGGATCCAGGGCAAGGACCAGGCCAGGCAGACGAGGTAGGGACGTCTGAAGACAAAGGCAGAGCAGCAGGACGGGGCATGTGGGTACTGGGGTGTGTGATGGTGGGATGGCTGAACTAGAGCTCTTTGGGGCAAATGTCAGGAGGCGACCGCGAGCAAGTGAGCAGGGAATGCATCAGGAAGGGCTCGTAGCTCTGCAAAAGAGATGCTTTCCAAGCATTTTCGTGTCACTTCTTACACAGAAAATGATATCCTTCCAACTTACTTGCGACTGGAAGGGCTCATTCAGAGGGTCTGGCTGCCCTGGGTCCCATTCAGGGGCCCCCATGGCTGAAGGGATCACCATTTTGGCACATCTGTCACCCACATATGCCACACAGGTTAGAAAGTCCTGCCCAGGGCACCTGGGAGCTAGTGAAGGGTTTTGAGCAAGAGAGAGACCACAATGGAATCTGTTTCAGAAAAGCCAACCTAAAATGTTGCTGGATCAGGTCGCTTCACAGGCTGAGAGGCTCTCGGATCTCAGGCAGTCTAAAGAACAAGCGGTAATTCCTTAGCCGGGCACACCAGGCCCATCTTGCCACGATTTACCTATTTTCTTTCCAACAGACCATTCCTTCCAGCAAAACTGGCACGATGGCGTTTTGCCATTTCACTACGTCGTTCTCTGCAAATTTGATGAGCGAATATGCAGTTTGGTTTTCTCTTTAGCATCCCAGAAGGTTGACTAAATATACTACTGTCCATTCCCTGAGTCAATTAGAATCCCAAACGAAACAAAAAACTCATGAGAAGCAGATTACAAAGCTTATGAACTCCACTGCCAGCTTCCGCATTCAAGAGCTTCCACATTTATGCTCTTCTGACTCCACAACATCTTAGAAAGGAGACAGGTTGCTCATTATCATCGCTTTTGGACAGCTGTGGGAAATGAGGTGCTAAGAAGGGGACTCTCCAGTGTCACGGTTAGTGCCTTTTCCCAGATGGGGCGGGGGAAGGGTCTTCATTCTTTAATGTTAGAATGCATGAAGACTGCATCCTCCCTGTGCCAGTAGGGTCTATGGGATATATGTCTCAATGCCTTTTTTTTTTTTTTTTAAGATTTTATTTTTAAGTTATCTATACACCCGATGCGGGGCTTGAACATATAACTCCAAGACCAAGAGTTGCATGCTCTACTGATTGAGCCAGCCAGGTGCCCCGTCTCGATGCTTTGAAGGGCTGCCTCGTGGTAAGCATGAGTGCCAAACGTGGACTTGGCCAACGCAGGCCAACAGGAGCTCATGGGAAACAGATGTGAACTTCTCTTGACATATCCAATAAGCCAGTGGGGCCCCTGTCTGGTCTCTCATCATGCATTCAGAGGTTATTTCTTCTAGAATTCATGTACAAT